GTGTTTTGGTTGTGGTTAATTGCATTTTTGTTCTGCAGGTCCCATTCCTTATGTGGTGGCCACTGAGATGTTCCGGCAAACAGCCAGGCCTGCGGCGTTCATGGTGGCCGGCTCCGTCCACTGGCTCTCCAACTTCGTTGTTGGTCTAATCTTTCCCTTCCTCGAGGTTAGTCACTCAATTTTTACAGGTTCAGACTTCAGTGGAATCAGCTGCAGATGTTTTATCAAGCATAACCAGCAAGGCAGTTTATGTCCTCGATATAATGTGATCCTTTGTGTCACTTATAATTGGATTACTTTGATTTTTTCTTTTCAGTTTGCATAGATTTGCAAGCAAGCTGGCGAGCTGGCAGGTAGGAGGAAAAGAGAAAGAACACAGAGGAGATCCATGGATGTAGTGAAGGAGGACATGCAGAGAGTTGTGTGACACAGCAGGATGCTGGGGATAGGATGAGATGGAGGCTGAGGTTTGATTCAGGTATCAAACTGAGAACAAAACATAAAAATCAGTTGGTTCCTCCTGTTTATTATTGATTGCTGTCATGCTAGAGAATGCAATTTGGACCTATCACTCACCTACCTGATGCACACTCCACCTTTAGGTGACACTTAGAACATTTATTGTGCATGCTCAAAAAAGGAGTGATTTTTCTTGGGTGGATGGTTTAGTGTTGCTGGCTGCTGAACTAGTCAGGAACGGTTTCTGTGTGCAAATCTGGCTTGTTGTTTGACTCACAGTAAACAGGGCAGATTGGAGCCAGGGGTGATCAAAGCAGCTGATTAAAACAGGCAGGCAGGTGCGAAGCTGGTGGATCTAAGCACAAGAGAACAGTGTTGGTTTTGGTCGTCGAGTGAAGTAGGAAAAACTGGAAAGGGAGTGGCTCACCTACTCCTCGTACACAAACACAGACAGGGAAACAAAATGAGAGGAGGACAAGAGGAGGCACAACATAGGGAATGAGGAGGAGGCAGATACATGAGGAATGCAAACATGCAGAGCGCCAAAACATTTTTTACATAATGTAAATGTTGGAGCTTCAATATTATAACACCAGAAAATACATTGTAAAATCTTAAATGAGGAGACATTATGTGTAGGAGTTTTCACTGAATGACGTGATCTTAGATATAAACATAAGCTTCATCTCATGTTTACTTCCTCTTACATGTTTAAACCTGAAAGTGTAATCAAGGGAAGAAGATGCTTGAGAAACATCGATAAAGAGCAGTGTTTCTTTATTGAGAAATCACAGAAATCACATTTCCTCTCCTTCTCTCCCCAGCGAGGCCTGGGCCCCTACAGCTTCATCATTTTTGCCGTCATCTGTCTGGTCACCCTGATCTACATCTGGCTGGTGGTGCCCGAAACAAAGAAGAAGACGTTCCTGGAGGTCTTCCAGATGTTTGCAAAGAGGAACAAAGTGGAGTTAAATCTGGGTGACGGCGATCTCCCGCTGAAAGAGCTCAAAGAGAGCGCACAGGATGTACAGAAGGCCACGCCTTTCTGAAGAAAGAAGAAGAACATTGATAGAAGAGGAAGTATTCACTGCGGGTGTGGAGCGAGGGAGTGTGTGTGTGGTAGAAGACTTGACAGTGTTTTAATTTTAGATGCCTCTGTGTGCCTTTTCTTTGTATTTGTGCCTGCAGATGTTGGTAGATTTCCATGCAGGCTCAGGTTTGCTGTGAGTCGGTGTGTGCACTAGATGCAGCGTTAAGGACTTGTGAAGGAGTCAATGAGCAGACAGCAGGTCTCTTGTAAGCTTTTATTGATGACATATGAATGCAGTACATGGCTCAAGCTGTGACGTGTTTTTAATATTGGTCTGTAGGCGCCTTGAAAAGCATTTTGTCCTTTGTAAAACATACCATAAACCCTTCACCAACAATTCAATCAAATCCCCAACATCAACAGATGATATTCTGGCTTGTTGCAGCATGTTGAAGCTCATACAAACAGAAGCATCAGGAACATCTGTACTGACTGTCCAGCTGCACCCCTCCGTACATGCTCAGTTTGGTGTTTCCCCAGCTGAACACATTTCCCACCACCATGCTGTTATTTATGCATTGCATTTGGTCTCGGATATCTGCTGTGGTCAGCACATAGTCCCACACGTTGACATCAGTCATCTTCCCCACAAAGGCATCAGCATTGAAGATTCCCAGTAAGCCATCCTGGTCTTTCCCCAGAATGAACACACCGCCAGATCTGATTGTGTAATCCCTTCTGAGGTACCGCTGCTCCCCCACCATGCCGTTAATCCAGAGCTCTGCACCGCCGGTGTGCGACGACCAGGTAATGCAGTAGTTCACCCAGTCCTTGGGCTTGAAGTTGTGCGGCAAGTTGACAAACTCGTTGCCAATCCAGAGGCCGACTTCTCTCGCATCCCTGTCCTCTCCGAGGGAGATCATCAGCTCGTTGTCATTGCCGTTGCTGGAGTAGGAGATGACGGTGTGGACTCCTTCGACCTGAGGCAGGACGTGCATGCAGACGGTGAAGGCGTCCAGGTCCATGGGGTGGCTGAGGCTGGCCAAAGTATAACTGCCAGAATCTTTCTCCCGAAAGTTGAGCACCAGAGGAAACAAAGAGCCAGTTTCTGAGGACAGAAAACAAGAATCAGGCTGGAGAAGTGCCAACTTCCTTTAACTGCAGATCAATATCAAATTTTAAAACCACCCACCATGTCTGGTAGGCCTTGAGTTGTGAAATCCACCTAAAGGGAAGAAATGAGACAAACACTGCAGAGTAAATACAGCCATCTCTTACATATAGCTATGTTTGGCAGTTTTTAAGATGAGCAAGCACCTGAATGAATGTTCTTTCCAATGGATGTTATCAGACCCTCGATCTTGTGGAGCCTGGATTCTATTTCATCTTGCCGACAAAATGCTGAAAAAACAAACAGTCAAAGGAAGTACTGAGAAATAGACTCAAGCTTGTACATCTCCTTCCAACATTCCCAACACCAGTTCTAAGGATAAAAATAATAACATTATTGTGCAATCGTGTGGTAACGATAAGCTACCCACTTCCTTTCCCGAGTCGCGGCAAGAAAGAAGACTCCACCTTACGCCCATTGAGAGGCTGAGCAATGCGGTAATCATTCCAGAGGGTCTTGTTGTCCATGTCCATCAGTGTGCTCTCCAGTTTCCTGATCTGAACGCAGCAGAAGAGCAGATAGGTTTGTGGTACAGCAGCAAAATAGATTTAAAAGAAACCCATTCCCGTCAACAGTTTTCCACTTAGGACTTAGGCTTATGACTTTAATTAAAAAAAAACATCAGTGTTCTTGAAAAAAATATCGGTTTTGGAGCAAAGGGCTCTCTGGTCGGCCTTACCTGGTTGTGTGAAAGGGTAATGGGCGTATCAAACACAGTCCAGAGGATGCTCTCGTAGCAGGGCGGAGTGGTGAGGGAGCCCTGGTATCTGAAGAAGTGGTTCAGGTTCTCGGGGAGCATTGAGCGGACATCAAGGTCGGATATGTTCATGGACTGACCTGTGAGGGTTACACAAACACCACGTTAAACTAAACCAGTCAGTTATGGTTCAGCTAGAGGTTACATTTGGATTCTGACCCCAAGTAGAGCAATGTGGGGTTTTTCTTTTGTTTGTTTGTTTGTTTGTTTGTTTTAGTGAGTAACTCACCAGCATACTTGATTTTCTTCAAGTTTGCAATAAAATCACTATAGTAGGTGTTCTCAAAATGGCCATCCTGGAAAGAAAATAAAACAAAGCTGTGTTAAAGTTTATGATTACATTTTCATTGAAAAGAAATAATTCTGACTTGACCCCACAAATGCAGGCTTTAGAGGATTATTACAGTTTTTTAGAACCTTTGTGTTGCTTTAACATTCATCATAAAATGGTATTTAACATGCTTAAAAGGCACTGATACAACCAAAAATTCAGATTTATTAACTTGTTTTATAAAGAGCTAGAAACCAAAAAGAAGTTGCTTCCTTTAAAAAAAAATAAAAATAAAAAATACAACAACGGACATTTGATGAGTCACTTGTGACTGCTGCACACATCTGGCAGTTTTGGTCATGTTTTTACAGATATGTTATACTTTTCAGTCATTCTGACTGTTTAATGTTCCTTCTTTGCTTGATGTCAGATATCAACTTATGAGTAAAGTGCTGTAGAAGTGAAAATAAAGTCCCAGTTGCATTTAAACTCTCACTTGGATGCATCTAAATTATTTGACTCCAAACTGCTGCTACCACAGTGGATGCCAGCTGTGGTGTTGCTGCGGCGATGACCTCTCAAAGGAAAGGAAAGGAAGCGTCTCATAGCTGAAGGTTACAGGCCGTCTGAGATCCAGAGCAGCCCGGTGGAAACAAGCACTCATTCACTGTGCTGCCGTGTAGCTGAAGACTTGATAAAGCTTATAACCCGGCAGGATGAGCAGGACAAAGTATTGCAAACTTCAAAGACTGTCAGACTGTTTGCCAAATGCATGTTTTTTCACTGCAAAGTATGTTATTTTTCACTTTCTAAACTTCTCACAGTGTCAGTTGTGGTCTTCTGTCTAACAGAACACTTGTATTCTGTGCAGTTGTGTACGAGCCTAGTGGTTAGAGAGAGAAGAGAGGAAGAGGTATTTGTGGCTCACGTACTTCATAGAAAAAGGCGAGGACAGCAAGCCCGTCTGGCTTATCTCTGGCCTCAGTAAAGCTCTTGTACTTGTCAGAGTTGTAATGGACCACATGCAGCTGGAAGAGAAGGTTAAGAGAGGAGAGGTTAGGTGCCAAATATGCTAAGTGACCTGCGATTTGGATGGAAGCATCAGGAGATAGAAATGCATTTACTAACTTTAAATTCAGTTTTAATCTAAGAACAAATCGATTGTTCAGCTGTTTTATGAAATGAAAGAAAGTCTTAAAACTGTTCAACATGAAGCTGCTTGTGCGCAGCTCAGAAATGGTTTCACAAAAGAGTGCTGATTACTAGATGCAGGTCAACCTGGCTTTACTGCAGTGGCCAGCCTGTGTTTTGTAAGCCTACCTCTGCCATGTAGCGGATCCCATCTATGGTGTGCTCTGCTCCGCTGGCCTCCAGGTCCCAGCCGCCCCAGTGCAGGTGCATCTGGACGGCTGTGTACTTTCCCGGGAGTCCCTCGGTGATCTTCATACTGGGAGGTAGGTCGATTTGAACTGATGGTGACATATCATCACAAATCATGAATACTTTACATAGCTGCCGCTGTATGTCTGATTTCCGGAAAGCCTTAGCCTACATTTATTTCAGCAGCAGGCTGGTCAGTGTTATCAGTGCTGCTGATGCGATGTGATGCAGTGATGACTTTTCCAAAAACTATTGCAGTCTCGGAAAATATAGATAAAAGAGAGGATTTCTAAAAATGCAAATTCTACCTCAACTTCAACGTAAATATTGGCTTTATAGTTCCGGAACTATTGCAGAAAAAAAATTTGGTTTGGTGGTCTCTGTACAAGTTAATAGTGAACTTAGTCATTTTTGTTTTTTTGTAGGCTACTATTATTATTTTTGCCGACTTTTCTTACCGGAGTGCCCGTTGTTGGACATGAGAAAAGTCCCTTTCTGCGCGTCATATCCGCTGAGTTCCAATTGTAACAGGTCAGGGTTGTGCCTAACGCTGCGCCGCTGGATGTCAATCGGGGACTGCTTCTTACCGCCGCACGCAGGGTACTGGGTTCCCCAGTGCATTTGATCCAAAGCGCCCTCTGTATGGAAAAACAGACAGCTGATTATCCGCTTAAATGGCAAAAGGTTCCTAGAGTGAGATAAATCCACGAACAGACTGACACTGTTTGAACTGTCGATTTACATTAGCCTTCTTTGAAATGGATTAACCACCTAGCTCACATGTTGCTGGTTCCCTGGCACGCCGGGGGCTTGTTCAACAGAATAATGTTGCGTCTTCAAATAACATTCATTCCCAGAATCTTAGCAGCAGCTGCGCTGTGCACCAAATGGTCCCTTCATGTTTTTTACAAGAGTCAACCAGCTGTTAACCGAAAAGTATTTGTCCAATATGTCACCCGGGACACCAAGCAGTCAAAGGAAATCTTTGTGAATAAACAGTAATAACCCATTTTTCATTTCTATCACTTTATTTATTTATTTTTACAATGCTATTTGCTAATTAATTGTGTTGCACAATAAACGGCTTTACGCACGCTTTACGCACCACTCCTCAACTTCAGTGAAAGCACAGTTTCACAGGGATTTAAAAAAAAAAATAGTGCCGTAAATTATATTAAAACTAACACAGACACGCTGAAAGAAAAATGCCCACCTTTGTATGTCCAGTGGATTCCATGATGAGGGATGGCATCGCCGACCACGTAGGCGAAAAGCGCGGAGAAAAACACGCAGAAAATCTCCATCGTTGCGTCTCCCGGCTGTGTCGCGCAGACAGTGACTCCTCACAGAGGTTTACTCTCAAGATTGAAACAGCAAGTGAAAGGGGGGCGGGGGGTGAAACTTCTGCTGAAAACGCCCAGAGCGCTTCCCTGCAGTCCCACAGTGTCAAGAGAGCAGCTTTTGGCTGTCAGCTGAACTCCCTTTTTAATTTAAGTTTGAGCTCATATTTGATTTCTAAAATCCACTCTCCTCTAGGTCATGTCATTATCAGTGGTTTATGGTTTTTGGCAATGATTAAATAATTCAATCA